TGTCTGTTGAGTTTTTAATAAGCGTCACAGAAAATATTCTGGTTGGTCGAGTTTATGGGACGAGTTTCTCAGATCTCCGTGCGGCAGCACGCAGTAACTCTAAGTAGACAACGCATTTGATATGGTTTGATGCTTTGAGTAACCGGAAAAATACTAAAAATAATAATAATATAATATAAAATCAGCGTGATGCGTTACAGACAGGAGAGTGTGAAAGCGCCTCACCAGGCTGAACCTGCATGATCAGGTTAGCGTTGGTTCCTTAACTAACACACCGGCCAACCGGGAACACATAGATGAACTTGATCAGTGCAGGTGCTGGGCAGCGTGTTGAGATGGAAAAGCCGCACAAAATTCTTTGTTCACAAATATAAATCATTCTCATTGCTCGCTCAACACACCTCTGAAAGCGACTACAAATTAATCCTGCAGTTCACGTAGAGCTGCACAACCAGAGCTAACCAGAGTGGTGTTTAAAGTCCTACCTTGATCAAAAACTCTGGAAAGAATCATAATTCCTCACAGGGGGTTGATGTAAATATCCATACAGGTCAGCCTGTGTCCAGTTTGAGTGACAGGAGGCGCGCAGGATCCGCGCTGAGGTAAACTTAATCCAGCTACTGCAGCGCAGAGGCGCCAGCGGTGTGATTGGTCCGGCTTTAAATGCAAACCATAAGGCTACCTTAAACATATCTTTTAGGAATAAATCTGCTCCGCAAGTGCAGTGAAGCGCTCAGAGCAACAGAGGCGCTAGCAATCCGGCTTAAAAAAAGAAAGAAAGAAAGAAAAAGAAAAAACGTATTTTTTTTTTTTTAATTATTAGTTTCCTAAAAACATAAACAAGAAAGGCTTAGCCATCCTTTACCTATAATACACTGGGGGAAACCCTGTAATGTTTACATTATTAATTATAGCTAATTATGGCTCTGCTGACATTTATCTCAAATATACATGCAAACAATAAAGACCAAAGATTGTTGTTGCATATATTATGTTAGCATGCTAGCTCTAAAGTTGTGTCTTTATTAAATATTAGCAATGATATACTGTTAATGTTAACGTTCTAAAAGCTAATTGTTGTGAATTCATTTAGCATTTGGATTTTAAAATTAGCATTAGCTTTCCTACATTCACCTCCTACATCAGGTTTACATAGCCATATCATGCTAATTTTAGCGGTACTGTTAGCGTATTAACATTGACTTTTTTGGATTTTAACTCAAAAGTCTGATGAAGTCCTTTACCCCAGCTTCACCACTCTGAACGAGTCAGCAGTTCATGAACTGTTTAAAGCTCTGTGTTAGTGGAGGGAAGCAGCTGAAAGTCAGTCCTGTAAGCCCCACCCCCAGTGCCTACAGGTGGCCTGGGCCAGTAATGGGTGTGTTGGTTGTGCAGCTGAAGGCAGTGGCCATCGATGGAGACCTGGGCCCGGTCCATCAGGACAGCGTGCAGTTCGACTCAGAGCTACCTGAGTTCAGGTAACATCCAGCAGCTTTTGTTCTGAAAGGGTGTTGGCGAGGCTTTTATTCTGAAAAGCGTCTTTGTTCAGGACTCATGGAGGAGTTCACATCCATCCTGACGGGCTGACGGTCACCTCACCTGTGCTCATGTGGGTCAAGGTGAGATGGTTGACCTGGAGCTGAACTGAGATCAGCTGACCTGGATCATTCTGCCTCCTGATTGGCTGTCTGTCTCTCAGGCTCTGGACCTGCTGCTGGACAGGATGAAGGCGGCGGGATTCGGGTTCTCCCGGGTCCGGGCACTGTCCGGTTCCGGCCAGGTGAGTTTCTGTGTTCTGCTGGGAGTGGGTTCTCCAGAACCGGTCCAGAACCCTTCCTCTTTCTCTTCCTCCTCAGCAACATGGCGCCGTGTTCTGGAGGACTGGAGCGGCTCGGACTCTGACCCAGCTGGACCCGGGTCAGAACCTGCACCAGCAGCTGACGGTGTGTGTGTGTCCTTGTGTGTGTGTGTGTATGTCATGATGGAGTGTGTGTGTGTCCTGACGGTGTGTGTGTGTGTGTCCTCAGGACAGCTTCTCAGTCCAGGACAGTCCCGTGTGGATGGACTCCAGCAGCGGGCTGCAGTGTGATGCCCTGCAGGAGGCAGCAGGGGGCGCCATGAGGCTGGCAGACATCACTGGATCCCGAGCCTATGAGGTTCACCTGTCCACCTGTCTGTGTTTCTGCTGGTCTGTCTCTCTGTCTGAAGGACATGTCCATGTCCTCCTGCAGCGCTTCACAGGAAACCAGATCTCCAAAGTGCGGCAGACCCGACCGGACCAGTTCCAGGACACTGAGGTCAGAGCTACAGCAGTAGGCCCCGCCCCTTTAGGTCAGGTGTTGTCTTCCTGTCTCATGTCCCCTTTTGTCTTTCAGAGGATCTCATTGGTCAGCAGCTTCGGGGCATCTCTCTTCCTGGGTCGCTACGCTGCCATCGACTACAGCGACGGTACTATCTGACCCCTGACCTCTGGTTGCTCGCATGACCAGAAAGCTTCTCTGATTGGTCCATCAGGTTCTGGGATGAATCTGTTGGACATCCGGGACAGGATGTGGTCTCAGATCTGCCTGGACGCCACGGCAACCAACCTGGAGCGCCTGCTGGGAGAGCCGTGTCCGTCCACTGCTGTCCTGGTAACTGGGTTAACTGGTTTACTGCTCTTTACTGGTTCCTTCCTGTCCCTACTGGTCCTTCTTGGTGTTGCAGGGCCCCGTTTCGTCCTTTCTGCAGCATCGCTATGGTTTCTCTGGGAGCTGCAGCATTGTGGCGTTCACTGGAGACAACCCAGGTGGGTCAGAGCAGGATGACTCAAACAGCAGGGGGCAGCGCAGGGACAGCTAGGAACAGTAGGGGGCGCTGCAGGGGCAGCAGGGGGCAGCGCAGGAACAGCGGGGGGCAGCGCAGAAACAGCAGGGGGCGCTGCAGGTCAGCAGGGGGCAGC